TTTAGAACCAAAATAAAAGTCAAATAAGGTCTTATATTAAGGAACCGGAAGTAGTAGATAGGATTGAAGAATACCACCTCCTCTCATAGTATTCCCCAATCTCACATATATGGGTTTTTCTAATACCAAATATCATATAATTACTCATACTAAACACTTTTTTAATATAGTTTTACACTTTCAATCTCAATACTATCCCTCATTTTTAATGTTTCGTATCAAACGGGACGTAAATGTAACTAGGAAAGAAAAAGTATATATGGTATACCAAAAACTTGGATTCATCCAATGCCTAGAGTAGCATGCGAACTGATCGATGATAGAGGAGCATATACATAATTGTAAGGAATAAGGTCTCACTTATTATAATTAATGAGCGTGTTTTAGGCTTAAGCTTTAGATGTTTCTTGTTTCTTCTCGTATAAAATCTACATCTATATGATCAGTACAATAATATATATATATATATATATATATATAAACAATAATAGTTACACAAGCATTTGTATATAGGGGTGAAAACAAACTAGGTCAAGCCAGGCTTCACCCTTAACAGGCCCGGCCTTTGGTGAGGCCTGTTGGCCTGAGTCTGGCCTGCAGCTTGTGAAAGGTTTTTTGTTCAGCCTGAGCCTGGCCTGACCTGTGGCCTGTTTTTTTTAAACAAATTTCAAACACATATAAATCAATTTAAAATTATAATGATTCAACCCAACTTATCTAAAATACAAACAGAAAATATGAAATTATCAAATTAACACAATTTGTAAAACATATCCCTTTAGACCCAAAAAAAAATCAAATATGAAAAATTATTAGAAAACATAATTTCACTCTGGTATAAAAATATCACTTTATCCCATCTCTAGTATAAAAATTAGTTGATGATTAGATCTAGTTTAAAATATTAAACATCCTTAATCCCTTTTATATTTTAAATTTATCATTTGTTCAAACTAATTTACATTTATTATAATTTATTTATTTATTTAAATTAATTAAGCAACTATTATAATAAGAATTAGATTGAGCACACATATATACAGTCTACAATATAATAGATCAATTCTATATATATATATAGATATATATATTTTATATAAGATTAACATGAAAAGCATGATCAAGTAAATGAATGATACTTTTATTTTTTTTAATGTACTTATGTTTTCTTTCTCCGTTTAAATATGTGTCATTATACACACATCAATTATTTTTATTATAGAGAATTATTTTTATTATAGAGAATGGAAATGAAATGAAACGTGTAATGAGTTCTGGATAACACGTTTATGTGAGTGGAGTTTTTTTAATTAACCAATCAAAATAGCAGATTTCTTCTTGTCCATTTATAATTTTAACCTTAAAAAAAAAGGATAACAGGCCCAGGCTGCCTGACAGGTCTAACAGGCTTACTATCAAGCTTGAGCCTAACCTGATAAAGTAAACAGGTCTTTTTACAGGCTTGAGCTTGTTCTAATATCTAAATAGATTAGGCCAGGCCAGGCCACAGGCCGCTGGCCTATTTCCACCCGTATTTGTATATATAGTTATATAAAGAGATGATTAATTACATCTAGCTAGCATTCTAAGAAAAAAAGTGAAATGGCTACCTAGCTACCAAGCTACTCCTCCGGTCCCAAATATGATCAGTACAATAATATATATATATATAAACAATAATAGTTGCATAAGTATTTGTGTATAAGGGTCTTATATTTAGGACCGGAAGAGTAATTCACATCACTGATTAGTTGGTCAGTTCATTTTTATTTTTACAAAAAAAGTCGTAAATTCTATCACTAGTTCATTATTTTTTTTAGTGATATGGATATTTGTTTAGAATAAGTGAAGGCAATTAATCTTCTAGTATGGGGATACCTTGGTTTCAGATATTAGTCTTATTTATTACTCCCTCTGTTTCTTATTATAAGAGACATTTGATGCTCATGGCATGTTCCAATATATAAAAGACACTTAAAAATTGTCTATATTTTTTTTGTATTGATTTCCTATTTTACCCCTATTTATTTTGTCTCTAACTCATACTCTCTCTTCCTCCTACTTCTCTTTCTTCTAATAATTTAATTGTTCTCTCTCATACTCTCTCCTTATTAATGGGGGCATTGTTGGAAAAAATATTATACTTTTTGCATATTAATTGTCCTCAACTAAATTTAACTGTTTTTTTTTATCAATGTAATTTGGTTATTTGTCTATTATAATAAAGAACGGAGGGAGTATATCACTGGAATTTAAAATTTTTTTTATGAATGTACAATATTATGGTTCATTTATTAGTGTGTAAACTGTTAGTATCTTCTAAAAAATGTGTATATATATTAAATAGAAATAAAATTAGAAAGTAATTGAATCTTTTTTTTTTTTTATCTGCTGGCTAACAATCAACGAACATTGATATATGCTTATGATGGTGGTACGGTGAAAATTGTGTGCTCAAGATTGTTCAAGAGATTGTTTTTTTTAATCAAACTAATTAATTATGTACTTATCTAATCTTATTTATAAGTCACATTTTTTCTCTACTTATAAGTAGGACCAAAAGATTAATTATACTATGAGATGTGTTCTTCGCATTTTTTTTTGTTGCCCACCCAGTTCACCGGAGTTTTGCTCCGACTACATCTGGATCCGACCCGTGTCGCGCACCTGGTTGTGGTGGATGAGTCTCCCAATGGGGATTTCTGCATATACTGAGGCTCGAACTCGAGACCTCGTTTAAGCGGTATCAAACCACTTACCACTTGGATCAACTTCTATTGGTTGTTCTTCGCATTTAATCACAAGGCAAGATCACATTTTTTTGTGTGGACTGCCTTCACCTCTCGGCCCAACTAATAATTACATGCCAAAGTAGTTAGGTTTCAGTTCAAATAAAAATTGAGTTTAGTAGAAAAGACTAATCTCTTATAATGTAACAAATTAATATTTAAATTCTTGCTGGAAAAAGTACTCATGTTCAATGAAAAAAAGTTTCAGCTCAAAACATTAAATTCATTTGAATTGCGGCTCCCTTTATTATCTTTGAAATAATATTCTTCAAGTAAGGTTTTGCATACAGGGTTTTGCATGCATATTAGAAAAGTATATTGATAGACTAAATTATGATAAATTATTTAAGAAAAATCAGTGAAGGGTGTCTTTTTTAAAATTTTACTGATTAGAAGGATGTGAATTTAGATATTATATACTTCCTCTGTAAGAAATTCGGCAGTATAAACTCACACTTTTTGTGGATTAAAATATATCAGAACTAACCAATAAAATTTTCAAATAAAAATTTTTCACTGATTTTCTTTAAATTATTTAATAGCACTTGATTAAAATATTCCTCATTTTTGTTTAATTGTTGGCACAAACATTTGCTCTGCCTACCAGCGTATTCTTATAATTAAGTGGTTGACTATTAATTAGTGATGATTACTGATTATAATATTGGGGTCCTAATTGTAACTTTTGCAAATGGTAATCAAAACATTATCTAATGAATAGATCGTAATTCTATAATTTAATCAAAGAATCACTCAGATGAGTTTCAAGTGGTGGAGCCAACTCACCCTATAAATGGACAAACTAATTGTCGGTTTGACCCAACCAAAAGGAATGATATTTTATTACGAGAATTGATCATACACCTTCCGATTTTATATATAAGAAAATTTTTTTTATTTCCAAAAAAAACTAATAATCTCTTTAAAATTTTTAGGATCATTTTTTTAATTTTTGTTTCTATTAGTTACTAGTTGTTGTATTAATTATTTTATTTTCTGTACTCACTCTTTCTATAAATAAGAATGTTCTTGGAAAATAATTTTGTCTCTTTACATATTTATTTTATTCGTGTTTGTGGTTTGCCCATTTTATTTTATTTTTCCAGCTCTATTCTCTTTTCCTTGTCCAACACATACGTTGACAAAGACAAATGTTGTAATTTATTATCAAATTTGAATCTTTAAATAAATATATTATTTGAAAAGTTGATATAACAAAGAGTTTTTTTACATTAAAAATTCACTAAATAGTAAATCAAAATTCAAAGAGAAAACAATAGCTGTAAAAGAAAAGAATTTAAAAAGCGAGACAACGACAAAAAGTTGATCAAGGAGCAAGAGGCATGGTCACAGCAAAAACGATCTTTTTTTTTTTTTGTGTGCCGACGATCTTCTTTTATTTATATCACTAATTCATAGTATTCATAAATTAAATACGCTAATATTAATAGTAGCATATTATTAGACAGATTCCAGGTGTTTTAGTAAGGTAATTTTTTTTTTTTCAAATAAAGAGGCAAGACAAGCTTGGAAATTACATGACAAAGGTCAGAAACGCCAAAGCAAATACAAACAAACCAAAATTAGCCTAAATCTAATACAATTTGTTCTGAGCAAAAGGTGTTGTAATATTATATATTATTTTTAAATTAATTATAATTTAAAAAACTGATGTATATTGTATAGTTTTTAATGCTCTTTTCGATCCTATTTATAAGTTTTAATTTGAAGCTTATTTTAACATTTAATGTATTTTTTAATTTTTTAATTATTTATTCTCTCTTATTTTTCATACTTCACTTATCACATTTAATCATATATTCTTTTTTTTTTTAATTTATTATAAGAATATATTTAAAAATTAAAAAATATTTTTAACCTATTTATTATTTTTAACTACTTCTAATTAATTATTTATTATTTTTAAATTAGTTATTTAAAGTTTATGATAAGCACCGGTAACTAATATATATATGTGTGTGTGATTTTTTTGAGATGCCTAGATCAGTTAAATAATTTTTAATTTAAAACATAAGGTTAATAATTGTGCTTGGGGGTCGTGGTGTTCACAAATCACAACTTCTCGCATGAGTCAGGAGTCAGGAGTCAGGATTTGGAAGTTTGTAGAAGAGTCGCTTCTACGAATTGACCACTTAGACCTCCGTCTTCGATCCCAATTACACCAATGTCCCCAGTTCCTTCGTACTTCCCTGTACTGAGAGGGTCTCCTTCTCTCTCTGTTGTTTTCTTCCAACTCCAAACCGCTCACCAGTCCCCACCTTTCCACAGATTTCATCACTTTCACCGCCACGACATCTTCCTCTTTGACTCTTGAATTTGACCATCGATCCGTTTCATCCTATCTTACAAATCGTTGTGTTGAACTTGAATGTGTAATGTGTTCGTTGTGGCGGATGATTTGGGACTATGAGTGTTTTGAATCGGAGCGTTTCAATCACCACAACGCCGTCGTTCAATCGAAGGTCTCTCGGTGTTGCGAGTCCTAAAGCTAACCGATGCAGACGGCTCGGGCTCTCCCGGTGGTTTCACTTTCACGCGCTTGTGATTATAGGGTCTCTAATTTCATTCTTTGTTGCCGTTGGTGGAGGATATGTGTACTTACTTCCTCACCTTAGTCACACCATCTTTCAAGGCCAGCGTGTCTCTAACTTTAACGGATCGTTAAAAAGCTGTGATGTTTATAAGGGAAGGTGGGTCCGGGTGCCGCCTTACCCATTGTACAATGCGTCAGAGTGTCCTTTTGTAGAACAAGGATTCAATTGCTTTGCTAATGGACGGAGAGACATGAGTTATCTTAATTGGAGGTGGAAACCCAGTGATTGCGATCTTCCGAGGTTTGATGTAAGTAATGTTTTGGAAATGTTTCGAGGCAAGAGAATTGTTTTTGTTGGCGATTCTATGAGTAGGACTCAATGGGAATCACTGATATGTATGCTGATGGCTGGGGTGAAGGATAAACGGAGTGTCTATGAAGTAAACCAAAATGAGATATCGAAGAGAATTAGATTCTTAGGTGTTCGGTTCAGTGCCTTCAATTTCACCATTGAATACTTTCGATCGGTTTTCCTGGTGCAACCGGGTCCGGTACCTAAGCATGCGCCAAAGAGGGTTAAATCAACACTTAGATTGGACAGATTAGATGATATAAGTGACCGATGGGCTGATTCTGATGTTCTTATATTCAACACTGGGCACTGGTGGGTGCCGTCTAAACTTTTTGACGCGTAAGTTCCTTTCTTTGTTACATTCAATGGCCACTTAGTGTCATTATGTTTATGGACATATTTGATACAATAATTGTTTCTTCTGCTGTTTATTGCTTCGCTCTTATTTTTCTTAGTTATCTTCCGCCAATGCAAAACTTTCTTAGCTATTTATTTTAATGGCTCGTGGTATCCATCATTATTTTTCCTAACCTCATCAACATGATTCTGTAGCTTTTAAATGCTATTGTTCAAGAGGGTTGAAAGTAATGTTTGTTGAAGTTCTCCATGATGCAAACCAGAGCTGCAAAAAAATTCTGACAAATTGCTGCTAATAGCAGTTAAGTATATTTTTAGATGTTGGGGTGATTGCTGCCTTTTTCCATGATTGTCACAACTCCTTCCTGCAGTAATGTTCACATTCAAGAGACTTGACAATTGAGATGAATGAGACTTTTATTCACTTGAGTATACAATTGAGATGAGTGAGACTTTATTCACTTGAGCATTGATTTTATTCTGTCTCACTTAGATCCTTGGTCATGTTTGTTATAGCTACTGAATATGAGGCATGTCTTTAACACCAAAAGAAAATAAGCATAAAAAAAATTTTGAAAGGAAGGTTGGGGTCTAGCTTTCGCCCTGATATTATACAATGGTGAGTCTTGTTGAAATTATATTTTATTTACTATCCTCTGTTTCAATTTAAAGCTGAAAGACTTTTTCTTGGGTGAATATAATTTGTAGTGCATATTTTTATAAAATCAGATTATGATTTATGTTTGTGATGCTTGACGTGTATTTTCATCCGCCGAGATCAGTATGGTTTTTAATTTTGTTTATGCCTGTGTATTTATCTGTTTCCATCAGGGGTTGCTATTTCCAAGTTGGAAGGTCATTGAAAATTGGGATGTCAATTCCTATTGCCTTCAGAACGGCACTTGGCACTTGGGCATCATGGATAGAGAGAAAGATCAACAAAAATAGAACACGTGTCTTCTTTAGGACGTATGAGCCATCTCATTGGAGGTATTCTTCCCTATATGTGATTTTTTTTGAAAATACTCTCTCTTCTGGTGAACCTGTCTGATACAAGACTTCTCACCTTCAGGACATTATTTATATAGTTGCATGCTTGTGGCATCAGCGGCTGCTTTTCCTCACTTTAACTTTTGTTTTTCCATTATGCTAGAATGTTATAACCTTTCGAAATATCGTTTCCCAAGATTTCAACCAGAAAAATGAAATTTCACTGGTTTAATCTGCACCGGTCAACCTTACTGATCTAGTTTCCTTGTCTGCATCAGTGATCAACCCCGCTTCACTTGTACTGTAACCCAGTACCCCATGCCAGAAACTGATGGAAGGGACCAAAGTTTGTTTTCAGACTTAGTTTTGGAAGTGGTAAAAAATGTCCCAGTTCCCATCAATGTTCTCCATGTCACATCATTGACAGCTTTTCGAAGTGATGCCCATGTTGGTAACTGGAGTGATAATCCATCTGTCCAAGATTGTAGCCACTGGTGTCTGCCTGGAGTGCCTGATACGTGGAACGAAATTATCCTTTCGCAACTATTAACTGATTATGAATCTCCATCCCGGCAAATGGAATCACAGAGTGAGTTCATTACTTTCTTTTTTATTTTTTTAATTTAATCTCAAAGCATCTGGCGTGATTTAAGCTTACTCGAGTTTTGATCATTCCAAATGAAATTTCTGAGAGTCATGATAACAATTTACCCTGACAGTCTTTTTCCTTGATCCAGTCTTAAAAACATTTTCTCACCCCATCCTCTTAGGTGTACCATTTGTTTTTGCAGTAACTTATTCTTTTCAATAACTTCTGTCTTCAGGTTGACCATATTTCTGGCTGCAAATTAGAGTTTGGCTTTCTTTGCATTGTATTTTGACCAGCATACTCTTCAGAGTTCAGATTCTATGGTGAACCAGAGCTCACTCACAACCTGACATTGTCACCCTGGGCTGCTGCTGCTCATTCAGCGATAGCTACTAACCTAAAACTGTTTTTCACGAGTCTTAAGTGCTGCTTTAGATTTTACCTGCTTTTCCAAAAGCAAGGGACAGAATATACATTTCAGTTCTACCAGAGTCACCGAAACTTAAGGTAGCAGAGAGCGAGGTATACATTTTTTTCCCTTTCTATTCTTTGTCCAATTCTTTGCATCTATCTCATAATCATGGTTTACATCTAAACCTGCAAGAACTTGAGGTTAGATCATTAGGTGAAACTAGGGTACTGGTGAGGAGGAGAATGTCTGCTATCAATTTCATCTTGGTCGGGTACATATCCATCTCCATTGATCTTCTTTCGAAGTGTGATGTGAGCCAGTGAGCTGCTTCACATCTTGTACAGTTCAGAAGATGTGTCATAGTTGGCAAATTAGGTTGTAACCAAGCGTAAATGAACAAATCCTGTCAGCACCGTTCAATGTTATGCCCTTGGATGATGGGGAGCCTGATAGACTACCAAAGAAGAATGTTCCGGAGGTCGTGAAGCTTGTTGCTTTTTGTATGGGGAGCCCTGTGGATTGAGGCTGTGTTGAGAAGAAAGGGGGGGGGGGGGGATTGAAGCTAACGCTTGTGCGGGTTTGCAACATTAAGCGTTAGCTTTTCAAGTTCAGATAATAGATTTACTTGTCTTGGAGATTTATTTAAATTTGAAAGTATAAGATTTTTTTTAATCAAATTTTAAAATTTATTGGTGTTATTCCCATATGATTCAAATTTTTAAAGAGAGTTATGTGCACTTCAACTTTTAAACAATTATATTGTTAATATAAAGGCGTTCAATTAGAAATATCATTACATTTAATTGAAAACTATCCATTTATCCTTTAATTTTATTAAAAGAAGGCTAATAAGTCGCTGGTGTGTGATTTAAACAATGAATGGATGTTATGAATAAATAGTGTCATTAACCTCGTTAAACTTTAGTTTTTCCAACACAATTGAATCAATAATATAATTTCAAGTCCTTGGCGGAAGGAGGTTATGATGTCACTAAAAAGACAATGAAATTGAGGCAGTGTGAAGGTCAGGGAGCCATTGGAGTAGGTCCACATGGTGAAGAAGGCGAGGAGAATGTGCACATTCCCCAGGAGGTTCTGAAAAGGTCTGTTATTATTGAAGGCATATACAAGCAATTAGCAACTTTTGGAGCTAATCATCAAATTGTGGTTTATGACGGCCGAACAGAACAGTATTGTTGAAAGAAAGTGAATGAAACTTTGTTGAGCTCAAACAAACCAATTTACATGAAAGAGAGACATCCAAAGAAGACTAGGTATGCGAGAAACATTTAATGCGCGAATGGAACTGTTTCTTTGAGCATATTACTTTCCATTCGTGCCATCGTTCAGAGTTTGTTGCCATAATCCTGATTCCCTGTTACAAACATGCAGAGGTTTACTAAATAATATGCTCAGTGGGAACCTCTTGTTATTTAAGTACGATACAATTGGGATATATCTGTTGACATGCATCTACGCTATCAAATGAAGGATTATGATCCTCTTCAGGCATTGAAATTCAGAGAAGAAAGAATTAATTAGTATTCTTTTGGCCAAAAAACAAAAATAGATTATTATTCTGCAATCCCTTTGATAAAACCAAAAAAAAAAAAAAAAGAAATTTCACCACTTTCAATACTTTCTTTTCCTAACTTGTTTATTATTGGCAAGTAATGTTCGGCTTCATAGATTATATTAATGGTATTTCCTTTGTAATTTGAACAAACTCTATTCAATTTTAATTTTATTCAGATTTGTACTAAAAATACGGAGTATCATAATTTGACAATCATAGCATGGATTCCTTCCACTCATACAACGTGTAAAGTAACCCAAGAGATGCAAAAATCAGCTAAATTACATTACTTGTCGAACTGGAATCTACATTAAAGAATAGATAACCAGATGCAGTTCATAGAACAAGGACAAAAAAAGAAAAAGGGAAATAGTAAGGAACTTTCATATGTAGACTGCCCAAAAAATATACAAGGATAAACACGCAGGGTGTTTCTCAGATGGATTTCTGCAGTCGACTGCAGTGCAATCATAAAATCTTTCTTCTTTTATCCCCTGACACTCAAATTATGCACTGGAAATAATAGTGTTTAGCTATGGTGACTGGTTAGAGGCAGTAAAAATGCTAGTGACAGTAGCCGCAGCAACTTTCCAGTTACTCGGTAGAATACTTATAGGTCTCAATGGTCAGGGACTGATGAGTGGCTGTGACGGTATGTAGCTTACCCATTTCCTTGCAAAAATTCCACCTCTAAAACTAGCAAATTGGAAGCCATAAAAGATAAATTTTTGAACGGCAGGGGCTAGAGATAGGTCAAATTTCAAGACTACCAGCAATCAAATAAAATGACCGCAAGGGATCCATGCCTGTGTTTCTCTCATGGATCAATGGCAATGGGAGTTATACGCTTTTTGCCTGTCTTATTTGATGTTGTCGTTGTTCCTCTTGAACTACATGCTACTCTTTCTTCTGCTTCCCTCCTATCTAAACTAGATGTTTGTTTCTCTGTCTTCTTTTGTTCATCCGATTTCACACTATCTGAACTTACTGGTTGTTTCTCTGCTTCACTATTACTGATATCCACCACAACTGCGCCATCATTTCCAGTTTCTTCAATGACCAAGACAGCTTTCTCTCCTGCTGCACTTTCCTGGCTTGCTGTCACAACTCCACCAACATTGCTAGTTTCCTCAATGACCATGTCATCAGCCTTCCCTTGGGCCTCGTTTTCCCTGCCAGCTGCCTCAACTCCACTAACATTGCTGGTTTTCTCAATGACCATGTAGTCGGCCTTCTCTTGTGCTTCCATTTTACTACTTTCTGCTACAACTACCCCAACATTCCCAGTTACTTCTGTGACCCTCTCATCTCGTTGCTCTTCTGCTTCAGCTTTCCTGATTTGTTCATTAATTACACCAACGTTGCTAGTTGGTTCAATGATCATGTTATCAGCCTTTCCTCTGGCTTCATTTTTCATGCTTTCTTCTTCAGCTGTACTAATATTCCCGGTAGCTTCAATGACCAAATTGTCAGATGTCTTCGGCTGTGTATTATCCTTGCCAGAAACTTTCTTTTCTCCTGGATCAATATGTTACAGAAATATTAGAAACCTCAGTGTAGTGGATATATGATAAAGCTGAAAAATAGGTTTTTTTGGGGGGGGGGGGGTGGTGTACCTGATGAAGAGATAGGTGTTCCTAATTCATTATTTTCAAATTCCACCAAAGTGCAGAAACCATCTTGAGAGGACAATGCCAAATAATGAGCATCAGGTGACCTTTTAAACAATGCCGGAAGCAGTTAAAAACTTTCCCCAGAGGCAGGCGATTGCATTAATTCTTAAACCAAAACATGTAAAAGGGACCTGGTAGTCACTAAAAAATTTACCATGCAATGTCTGTTATTGCAGCATAGTGGAGACCAGCCATTATAGCTATGGGAGGATTGTTCTCAGTGTCATAAATGTACAATGAATTCAAAGTGGCCACCGCAAAAATGAGGCGATAGGGAAGTTTAAACAACTCAGCTGCACAAATAAATACAATTATTATCTTGCTTCAGTATAGATATACATCCTCCAAGACAAGCAGAATGTTTCTACAAGAAAGTAGTTCAACTTTGGATCACTTTAGGGGACAGAGTGCCAGAATTAAGCTCCACATGACTGAAGAAATGGCCCCCTAAATCATATATATACTGCAACTGAGCTGATGTACAAGTAACAAGCACAAAATTACCTGAATTTGTTCCCCGAAGGCTGAAATTAACAGGACAGAATCGGACAGCAACCACAGCTTTGTTTGCACAAGGAAGCTGTATGGCAGGCCTGCATATCAGGAAAATCACAAACAAAATGCCTTTAGGACATGGTCCATGAATATATTAATATAGCATAGCATGCTGGGTATTAAAGTATAACATGTAATCTCAATTTTTTTTTTTTGGGAAAAAAAAATGTTTTGACTCTGCGAGCCATCTTCAGCATTTGAAGTAGAAAGATTTCATCGCCTAAAGCAGAAAAATCTGGCAGACTTACCGAGAAAGGTCCTTTCTAGAAAATATGTAAGCTGCATTTACAGATTCAGATCCAGAAGTAGCTTTGTATGAGCCTGAAATAGATGAATTGCCATGTAATTTTTTTCCTTTTTAAAAATAGATAACATAGAATAACAACTGTTCAGGAAATCAGAGTCTGAAAGGAAGAAACCAACCGACATGATACAATTTTCAAGCACCAAGAAATACTAAAGAAAGCGCATTAAGTTGGAACTTGACTGCAAAAAGTCAGGCCAAACTGCAAAGGTAAAATTTACTACTACCTAGAGATAATTATAACTTTCACCATCCAAAACCAAAAAAATGAGGAGTCTCATCAGGCTGAAGCAAATAAACTCATCAGCAGTCCAGGTAAACTACAGATTCAACTAACTTGAATACTATCCAATTTTTTGTAGATTATTCTATGCTTCGCTAAAAATGGGCTCTCTAGAAGAATCTGCAATCACAGCTTATCACAACCTCTGACCCGTAAAACCAGAGATAGATTATACATTATCATGAAGAGTCAAAAACTCAGAAATAAATTGAATCAGAATTTGCTCAAGTTATTACCTGCAGGCACAACAAGAAACGAGCCATCAGGAGACCAGGCTGGTCTCCTGAAAAAAGATGGCAGCGTCTCATCATGGAAAAGATGATAATTTGTTGACTGCATTCCAAAAACTTCGTGAGGTTCATGTACATGACAAATCAATCAATAAATTTAAAGATAGAATAGGATTCAATTTATCTTAAACCTTAGAATTATCTAGTAATGGATGTACTGCCTTGGAAATAACTTGCTGGCAGACAAAATTGATTTTCCCACTTCCTTTAGATTTTCTAGGTTTATTAATGTAGATTCGGCAAGTTCTGTCGGAACTAAGAGAAGCAACATATTGCCCTAGAGGATCCCATGCAACTCCCTGAACATAATGAGCATGAGATTCCAACGCCTGAAGATTGGTGCCTGAGACATAAAAATCAAGTACAATCAGCAATATAAACAAAGATATGATCAACAGATGTCACAGTTGAAACATTTCAACTGCCTTCTACCAGAGTTAAAGCATACTAATTGGACATGCTCCAATTATTTGTTGCCATTCTCACCTTTGTTAATGTCCCATATAATGCAAGTATTATCAACTGACCCAGAAATTAAAAATGTGCCATCAGGAGACCACTGAAGATCCAGGATATCCTTGTGATGAGACCTATTTCACAGAAAAATCTTGATAAGAAGAAAAGTAACGGGCCAAACATGAGGTCTTTTTTTTTTTTTTTTTTGGGGGGGGGGGGGGGTGGGTACGGGGGGAGCTACTGGTCTTTAAAATATACTACCTCCCGTCCTTAATATAAGAGCTACTTGACTAATTTGAGTAAATAAAAAAATCCAGTTAAGTTAGTTATTTATAATAATAGGTGTTATATTTCCTAAAATATCCTTGGTAATCAAGTGTATTGGTTAGACCTACTATTATTACAATGAGTAACTTGAGAAAAAATGAATAAATATGAGAGTTAAAGTGGATTGGAGTCTTATATTTAAGACTAAAATAAAAGTCAAATGAGCTCTTATATTAAGGACTAGAGGTAGTATTTATTAGAAGCAGAATCCCGTCAGGAAGACCAAAAGGGAAAACTGTTTTAGGGCCCTTGGACTGATGAGTGGTTATATCATAAATTATAGTTTTGATGTCAAGTATAGTCTTTGTTTCTATGTCATAGCCTTCAGAAATAAAGAAGACATACATCAATACAGAAAAAAGGACCAAGGGCCCACTGCCTATTGGTTGACTAGTCTATGAAATCTTCATCGTATACAGAAATATAAAATTTGCATAAAATAAAATCATAGCAAAGCAAAATACTGCCTATTGTACATTATATTAATTCATAATATATGCAGGGCTCACACATGAATCAAATCAAATGCCTCTTATCTTACCTTAACATCTTGAGGACCTTCCATGTTTGATCTGTATCTATCAGATGATACTTCCATATTATAAGATCACCTCCTGAAAATAAGGAAGGTCCAGTCCACAAACATCACCAATTTATATTATCACACTTTAAAACAATTAAAGCAGTTCAAAGGCAGATAAAGACATACCATCAGCACCAGAAGCCAAGAGTTCCCCTGCATGAACCAAAATATTGTTCTTAGTAGCAATACTATCACCCAATTTTTTCTTGGGGAAAATAAAAAATCTGAAGTAACCAAAAGGAGTAAAGAGTGCTTCAGAGTCTGTGTAACTTAATTTGGAAAAGGGACAAAGGACTAAAATAGAATTTTAGAACTATCAACTCTAGTTAAACCTGCTTGTTATTTTCTGGAGGCTTCTGAAGGCAAGCAGAAACCATTTCCATGAGGAACCTCTTTCAAACTGCTAATGAACTCTATAGAGCATACAGAGATGACATTTTAGGATCAAGATAGTTCAGACACTAAGGGTCACTGTATACCAAAATAACTGATACGATGGTCAAATATTTCGGCCAGGATAAATTGTATTATCACTATAAATTGAAAATTATTTAGTGAAACTCCTATTAATCCAGAGTGGAGGGAAAGGGAGAGGAAACCAATGATACTGACATACCTGAAGAGGAGAAACGAATTACATTTACTGCAGAACTATGGTAAGACAAGCTATTCAGATATGACACTACAGGTAGTTTCTTTTGTGCCTCTGCAGGTTTTACAGACCAAAGCTGGAAATAAAAGTTAAAATCAATAGTTAGTCTAGCCTGGTGAAATCCAAAAAATAAAACATGCAGAAATTTTCAAGAGGCATGGTCTTAACATGTTCACTTATTGAAGCAGTGTCAGATAGAGAAGTAAAACTCTCAACCTTATTTGCATTTTTCATAAGCAATGCACTGAAACACAAGTCAGTTGAATAATCGAAAATGTCTCACACTGATATATTGGAACTTGAACGAAGGTTACAGATACCGGGGATATTCTATAATTCAACAACAGAACTGAGATCACTTGTCTAAGTGCCCCAAAGAGCATCTCCTCCTCCCTTACGAAGATGGTATCTCTTGGTTCAAATTATTCTCCAAATTAAGGAGAGTAAAAATTTTAAAATAATAATTAAATAAAAAAATGTCTACGATGCATCCACCTCTATTATTGTAGATGAAAGATACAGCTCAGGCATCCTATCTTCATAAATAGAAACAAGACATTTAAATACGAAGATATAATTTTAAACACTTTTCTTTAATAAATATGAAATATTAGTGGCAGTTTCTTCTATTAGTGAAACTGTAAACCAATTCTCTAAGCACTAGAAATGTTTACAAGATTGTAACAAGAACAATCTTCCATTAACCGTCTTATGATTAACAATTTTCTTGTTCGGACGAAAACCAAATAATGTAATTCACATAATCAAAAATAAAGAGGAACTCAGTGACATTTTCCCAATGAACTACACAAAATCCCGAAAAATAAATATTAAAAAGATATATATTTTTCCGAAATTTTCAACGATTTATGTCCCAGTTCTAATCCGACCCACGAAAACCCCAATTCCCAAATCCTGTCAAAGGGACAACAGACTAAGAAACAAAATCAACCTTATGCAAGAGAAAAAACTAGTTTTCAGTTTAAGCTTTGAGTGAAAACGTTGCGAAATAACACAATGGTCAGACAGTAATTGGAAGAACGACCTTGATGTCGAAATCGGCGCCGCCGGTGGCAAGAGTGGCGGTGAGTGGGTGGAAATCAAGGGATAGGACTGGTTTGGTTTCGTGCCAGTTTATTTGTAAAGTTCCACCCTTCATTCCTCAGTTTTATGAGACAACTTCAGCTTCAGGAAGACGAAGAAGCAGCACAGCACAAGCCGAAAGGGGGATCTTCGCTCGCTTCTCTCAGTTGGCGGGAAACAGCTTCTGCAAGAAATGCTGGTTTCTATAATATATTTACCAAAATTACCAAATTAACCCTATCAATCCATTCTATTTTCATTCCAATTTTTTGCAGGTGCCATTCTAGCCCGGGGTATATATATACTACCTCTGATTCTTAATATAAAATCTTATTTGATTTTTATTTTGATTTTAAATATAAGACTCCAATCTACTTTATTTCTCATATTTATATTTTTTTTTTCAAAGTAACTCTTCTAACAATGATAGTTCTAGTTAATACACTTGATTAGCAAGGATATTTTAGGAAAGATAACACATATTTAGGATAAATAACTAACTCAACTTATTTCCTTAATCTTCTCAAATTAGTCAACTAGGTCTTATAATTAGGACTGAAGGTAGTATATCTTTTTGGTTACAAGATATATGTATTTTTAAAAAAATTGAAAATACATTTTTTATTTATTTACTCAATATTTTTAAATTACGTTCTTTCTTTTACCTTTTTTTAATCACGCTTTCATTTCACACCTCAAAATCAGATAGAATTTCTCATTTCTCTGGAACAACTTATAGAATTAACTTGTTAGTAGTTATTCCTATTACAGATGTGACTTTTTTTTTTTAAAAAAAAAAGCGCATCTAAACCAAAACCTAATGATATAAGTGATATGATTAATAATTTTAAATTAATTTTTTTTGCCATCGAATAATTTAAAAATAACATAGCTTATTAGCTTAAGATGAATTTCATACATATTAATTGCCATAAAAATATAGTGATTTTGATTTTAAAAATATACATTTATGGGCAAAAAGTTATTAGTCCTATATTTTGAATAGATAAAGAAACGATCGTAAAAATTTATAACGAATGAAATTGAGTCAATGATATTTTAAATTATGAAATAAAAAACATTAACCATTTTAGGAAAACAAATATAATAACTTTGCGAATGGAAATGCACTTAATATGACAATTTTCAATAGAGCCGGGGAAAACGGGCCAAGCCCGTTTAAGCCCGTTTAAGTCGAGGGCGGGCTTATATTTTGAAGCATTGAAAGGGAAGTCGGGCTTAAAAGGACCAGCCTTGTAGGGCCGAAAAATAAACGGGCCGGCCCTGTAGGGCCGCGGGCCGGCCCGTTTAGGCCCGCCAAATTATTATTTTTTAATTTCTATCTTTTTTTCTTAACTTAAAAAAGAAAACCCTAACATTTTAAACATATCATACTCTTAGTTTTACTTATCTTGGCAGCTCACATAGATAGCATTCACAAAAAGAAAAAAAGAATCACTATAGCTATGGGAAAAATAACCAAAAAAACATGAAAATTGCAAAATTTAAACTAGGTATATTCATAAAAATATATTGTTATTTATAAGTTGTCAAAACCTATTAAAATACTGTATCTATAATTTTTACAGTCTTTATTTATCATTCTCCCATATTTTTTATACTTGAAATATAATTGATCAAAAATCTTTTAAACTAAAATAAAGATCTATATCATTTTTATAGTAGAAACAAATTTAGAACTAAGAATGATGGACTCTTTATTTTTTGTCGGTATGATAAATGATTCTTTTTATGTACTATGTTTGTTAGTTAAACTTTTTTGTTAATTATTTATAATCAAACTAGATCATCCGCATTGTAATTATCTACTGAACTTAATGCTTATTTAGTTATTTATGTCTGTCCTCTATTTAGTTTGTTTATTCAATAGACTTTATTATACCGTAATATATGTTTAGACATGATAATGTTTATATTTGTGACTCAATTTTATTTATATTTATACTTTTTATTAGTAATTTTATTGTTTCATTTTTATTATTTTGATAAAATATACAAAAAAATAAAATAATTATTTTAATTAAAAAGACCAAAAGCCTGCGGGCTAGCCCGAGCCCGTCATCTCACGGACCGGGCTTGAAAAAATGACTTATTTTTGGAATTCGGGCTTTAAACGGGCCGGCCCGTTTTCCCAGTACTAATTTTCAATATATATACTTGTATACGCAGCTGCACATTCTTTTCCGGAAAACATTAACAGAAAATTCAAAATTACCTTTTTTTCTCCAATGGAAAATCACCTTGATTTATTTTTTTTTTAAAAAAATTGCCTAACACATAACATCCCCTTTTTAAAAGGCTTTCGGTAATTACGGGCCCATCATATTGTCATTGGGATGTTTAATTCAGATTCAGGCCTGCTACAAAATGAGGCCTTTCAAATAGGCCCAATAAAGAAGAAAACAAAAACTTAAAAATGGAAAGCCCAAATTTGTTTTTGATGCAGTAAACCATAACCCAACCAAGGATCTTAAGAAGGTCCAAAATAAAGAGAAGACAAGCTCTGCCGAAAGTGAAAAAGGCAGGAAGAAGAATCAATGATAGTTAAATGTAGTGTGAGAAATTAGTAGGACCATTGATAATTAATTGTACATATAACTGACAGATGTCAGTTTCTATAGAGTTAACTCTTTGGTGGTATTAATCTTTTTATTTTTTAATTATTGTGTCAGCCATCTTCAAGAAAGTTATCCAAAGATTTATTCTTATCCAGCTTTTAGTAAAAAAATTTCATGTGTGTATGTTAGTATTGGTTCTTTTAAGCAGCAAGCCCCTTTTCAGCTTATTACGCACAAGTTTACGCCTTAAAAGAAGGACTCTACAGTTGGCTTTCAGTTTTTAATCTGCGAATTAAATTCTTTTTGTTTGTGACACAGAGAGAGAGAGAGAGAGAGAGAGAGAGAGATTGTTTATCTCTGAAAATAATGTTACTTTTCCAGTTAGCTCCCATTGTGAAGTAGCAAGACTTGCAGTGAAGGACACTATACTGATAATACTACGTGTTATTCTTAATATAAGATTCTGTTTGACTTTATTTTAGTCTAAATATAATAGTCCAATCATTTTATCTCTTATATTTACTCAATTTTTCTAAGATAGTCCTTCTAATAATTATAGTTGAATACACTTGATTAGTAAGGTATTTTAAGAAGACACCTATTTAGGACAAATAACTACTCAACTTACTTTCTTAATCTCCTCAAATAAGCAACTGGCTCTATAATTAAGACTGGAAGTAGTAATTTTAATGATCCTGGAGGATCCTCCGTAGCTTCTCGATGTTGTTCTGTACTAATTAATCCTCACATCATCCAAGACGCAATGTGATGAGAGGTTCTTTACTATAAGATGTAGGCCAGTTCATGATTAATCTTTCCCAATACTTGAAATCCAAGAACACAGAACACATTGGAGTCTGGTTGGTAGGGCTCAATCATCATGTCACAGGCCCCATTTTACTATTACCTTTATTATCTCTTTGACAATGAAACTATTATATATATAAATATATATAGATAGAGAGAGAGATGAACAAACCTGCTCCAACTTTACAAGGATATAAGTGGGCTACCCTAGCCCTAGTTCTTTATCTGATGTATGGCTTTGAAGAAGGAGAATGACAGGAATTAAATTCAAAAGAGGCGATGAGTCATTGGTGGGATCAATTATTTCAAAGATCTTTTTGAAGGAGAAAAAAGACCCGGGGGGGGGGGGGAGAGAGGGTGCTGAGAAGGAACCAATCACAAACAACTTGGTCACCTGACTTCCAGTAACATCCATGGACCCATCATCAATCTCCCAACTAATTTGCACAACTCATACACACTGCTACTAGTGGAAGATTTTCAACACGCATAATCCTCATTTCATGGCACCATCAAGATTAACCTAACCAAGTAGGCCCTAACGGTAGGGATATCTCTCTCACTAGATCAAGCTTTATGTTTTGCAATACGCAAATACCAAATGTACTCAACAAAAAAAAAAGGTTGGATTAAGTACAAAGACTCTATACCCTTCACTATGGTCTTAGTTTTTAGTATGAGTTTCTGGAATTTTGCTCAAAAAAAAAAAGTATGAGTTTCTGGAAATATCTTCCTTTGGCATGCCATGGGCTCAGATCTAAATCAGTCAACAATACTGATGGTTATCACAAAAAATGCAAGAAATGGCATGAATGGGGATTGAGCTAGAGAAAACACAAATATACACCTTATATCATAAGATAATAAGATTCAGAAAGATGAACACAAGATATATAATGTTTCTGCATTACAATGAGAGAAGGCGTATTTTTGATTGAGCTAATACCAAACCAGCTTATCAATAATCCCCATAGCCACATCACAGATATGCTTCAACCCATTTTCTCTACGAGCGATTTCTGGAGGATAGACCAAACTGGGGTAGCGTTTAAAGGCATTGTGACAAGCATTAGGGTAGTCTGCAGCTGCAGTGACACGCATATAAGCATAGTCATATTCTTCATTGGCCAGATCCTGCACAGAAGCTTGAAGAGCTTCACCAGCATAACCGTACTTCTCCGAGCACTCCTTGAGGACCTTGTTCAAGACCGTGTCGTTTGAAGGCCCAACCAACTTAGACGACAAGTAGGAGGAAGTGGCTGTTGCGTTTGCCGTTCCAATCTGAACCATGATCACTGCTAGACCCTTTGGGTCTGCGTTGGGACTTGTAGGGTCAGATTTCAAAGAAGAGTAACAGAGGTTGTAGTACTTTGTGTTTCTGCAGGTTTTATGGATCAGTTTGGCGTCTGCTTTCACAAATGGTTGAGGTTGAAGAAGGGGTGAGAGGAAGAGGAAGAGTAGAAGAAGAAAGAGTTTGGAGGCCATTATCAGAGAAGGAGATGCTGAGGAAACAACGAAGAAGAAAGAGATGGAAGAGAAGGTGCTTACTGTATAGAAAATTTAAGGCAATGATGAAGCCAAGAGGGAGAGTTATACGGTTCCTTTTTTTTCTTCCTTTAGATCTACTCACGTCTTGACTGATGTGTGTGTCTCATATAAATATTTTTTCATTTCTTTTGCTTTTGGATTGTCATGGGATTTTTTTTAGAGGGATTAAGAAGGCATGTGACAAAACTTTATTTTTCAGAGAATTATAATGAGGT